TGGGGTCGGTTTTTGAAACTTTGTGCAAGAATTGACAATTCGTTTTCAGAAAACGGATTTTTCTCACATACAGTAAGCTATGGCGCACCTGCTGGTAAAATTTTCAGGGCTCTAGGGGCAATATTACTGTCAAAAGACTTGCAGGAACCGACTTCGCCTGCAGTGCAGTTTGGCAGATGACGGTGGTTGGCTTTACTTAACTCGAGCTGTCAGCAAGCTACAGACCTCTCACGCACACCAGTCGATGCAGAATGATCTGGCGCGTCACACTGGAAGCTCGAGAGTTCCTAGAAATGGCTGAGTCAGGAGTTATGCTCGAAATACTGTCTCTATGTATGCGTGTTGCGAACGGTGTTTCGATGATAATTCGAGCTGAGTGCATGCTATGCAAGCCAGGTACATTCCAATCGAAGTAGCGACATGCGAGACATCGAATGGGAGCCTCGAGAGTGCCCAAATTGATTAGAATTTTCAAAATCAATGAAAAATATCGATTTGTACAATTTTGTATTTTTGTGTCGGATGATTTTTTTTTCTAATTTATATCGATCTATGGGTGACCTAGAGAGTTCTGGTGCATTTTTGTCGACGCAGAATGGTCTCGCGCTCTCACTGAGAGCGCGAGACTTCATATGAATAGCTTCGCTGGGAGTGAGAACTTTGGTCCAGCCGGCCGAGGCGGACAATGTGACAACTTTTGGGTGGTTTTGCAAATTTTTGAAAGATATTTGACAATTCATTTTGAAAAAGCAGATTTTTACTCCGAGCATTGAGATATAAACTTCGTTCCCTGATCAGCTCGGCCATCTAGAGTCATTTTCAGTACCAGTTCACTTGAAGGAACCGACTTCATGTTGACTCCGAAAAAAATCTCAACTTGAAGTTTTTGTAGAAAAGCTCCCAGAAGCTCCCGCTTTGATGCTGAGCTTTCTCACGGATTCAAGGAGCTCTACGAGGTTCCCGGCGGTGACCAGGTTGACGGTTCACCGCCGGCGCCAGTTTACGCGTGCGGGGGCCGCCGCACGCGCGCGGTTTACCGTGCAAGAAGAAGCTGGAAGGCTCGCATGACGGAGCTTTGGGGAAGCTGGGACCTTCCCTGGAAAGCTCTGGAGCGCTCTCCTGAAGCGCCCCTGAACCGCTGCCAGCGACGCTTGCACGCGTTCCTGCACGCGTGCAGGAACGCGTGGACGCGTGTCTGGAACGCTCCCGGACCCGCTGCAACCTCCGGCAACTCGCTACGAGGATCGTGGACCGGCAGAAGTGGGCGTGTCCCTCTCACCACCCATCTCCGGCTTCTTTTCTGAAACCCTTAGCTCTCCAAGGAGCTATCCGGGAAAAACCCGGAGAGCGCAGACAGCCTATGGAGACGGGAAATCTCTCCTGGCGAGCTCCGGGAAGCTCTCTTCAGCGCTGCCGAAGCGCTGGCAGAAACGCTTCCATGCGTGCCTGCACGTGTGCAGGCACGCGTGGAATCTTGCCGGAAGCTCTCCCAGGATCGTATCCGGTTCACCGGAGTTGCTGCGAGGAACGTGGACTGCCGTGGAGGAGCCCCTGGCAGCTGGACCGGCGGAAGTGGGCTGCTGGCGGGCACCACCACGGTCCGGCTTCTAATCTTAAACCCTTTAGCTGTCAGCGAGCTCTCCGGGAAGAAAGTCTTTCCTGGAGAGGTTTGGAAAGCCCCTCTGCAGCGCTGCCGAAGCGCTGCCAGAATCGCTTCCACGCGGGCCTGCACGCGTGCAGGCACGCGTGGAAGCATGCCGGAAGGTCCCCCGGACACGTCGCCGGCTCAAAAAAGCCCGTGCGGGGATTCTGGAGCGCCGCCGAGAAGCTCCTGGCGGGCACAACCACCGTCCGGCTTCTAATCTTAAACCCTTTAGCTCTCAGCGAGCTCTCCGGGAACGACCCGCATAGCCAAGCGCGAGACGCGCGCACGGACACGCAAGCGCACCCCAACCGCACGCGTGTCGAGTAGCCTCAAGCTCGCTTGAAAGGTGCGTGGTGGTGCTGGAGAGCTTGCCTGGCGCTCTCCTGAAGGGCTGTGCACGTGCGTGGTGGCGCTGGCAAGCTTGCCTGGCGCGCTTCCGAGGGGCTGAGAGCGACGCTTCCACGCGTGCCTGCACGCGTGGAGCTCGGTGCCCGGGAGCTTCGCGAGGCCTCTGGAGCACGTTCTACGGGAACGTACCTCGTAGAGCTCTTCGGCAAGATGAGCTAAGAGGAATTCGGGCGCAGGGTGGAACTAGTTGGCCGACCCGACCTTAAGAGACGATGTGGTAACTTTGGGTCGGTTTTGCAATCTTTGTGCAAAATTTTAAAGTTCGTTTTGGGAACCGGTATTTTTCTCACCTGTAGTGGGTTGTGCCGCGTCTGCCAGTGAAATTTTCAGGTCCGTAGCTGCAATATTACTATCAAAAGACTTGAAGGAACCATCGGCCGTTTCGAGCATCTTGACACGCATTGACGGTTTTCTGTAGTTCAAACTGGGCGCCGGCGGTAAACCGTCAACCTTGGTTACCGCCGGGAGACTCGTAGAGCTTCCTGGCTCGACTTAAGTTCAGAAAACCGACAGCACCCACCAACATTCCGACTCATAGTGAATATTGTTTGGCCTCTGAATGCGACAGGTCGATATTCTTCTCTTTTTTTTATTCTTTTCGATTTTGATTCTGATTTTTCTTTACCTCTTTTTTTTTTTCTCCTTCAATTTTTCTTTTTTTTATTTTTAATTTTTTTACTATTTCTCTTTTCATTTTTGGCCTCTGAATGCGACAGGCGGACGCGTCTGATGTCTTCGAATCGACGCCTGTCATTACCAGCCCTGCAGCCCCCCTAGAGCCCGAGTTAAGTGCAGAAAACGGACAGCACCTCTCAGAATGACTCGAACAATACATTAGTTTCGCAGACCTAATTCGGGCAGCAGACCGAGTTCCGAGCTCTGGATTCGACAGGCAGACGCGCCTGATGTCTTCAAATCGATTCCTGTGACCACCAGCACTGTAGCCGCCCTCAGCGCGAGTTAAGTGAAGGAAACCGAGAGCACTTCTCAAGATGACTCGACCAATACGAATAGTTCTGCGATTCTGGATCGGGCAGCAGACCGAGTTCAGAGCCCTAGATACGACAGACAAACGCAACTGATGATTCTGAATCGTTTTCTGTAAATATCGGCTCGGTAGCTGTCCTAGAGCTCGAGTTAAGTACAGAAAACCGAGAGTTCCTGT